CCCGATCTGCGCGCTTTATTATTTAATTTGTGTTTGTGAAGAAGAGACCGATAAGTATGCTGCGTGATCTGCAGGAGCTCCCACTTTGTCCTCCTACTCCTCCACCTCCTCTTCCTCCTCCTATTGCTCCTCCTCCTCCCCTCTCACTCCTCCTGCTTCTCCACCTTCTCCTCTCTCCTGCTTCTCCTCCTCCTACTCCTCGCACCATGCATTCTTAGACCAGTCCTTTAATGTAATTGCTTGGTCAGGTGCATGCGGTATCGCTCGTGATTGTGGTCAGCGACATCTAGGAAAGTCCTTTTATAAATATGCTCCAAGTGTGAAGGGACCTCTCTTCTCTTCTCCTTCTTCTCCCATCAGCGTCGCTATCTTCTCTGCTTCCTTCTCCCTCTCTTCTTTCTCCTCCACTCGTTCCCCTCCTCCTGTTCCTACTGCTCCTCCTCCCCCTCTTGTTCCTCTCGCACTTCGTCCTCCTACTCCGCCGCTTCCTCGTTCTCCTCCACCTCCTCTTCCTCCTCCTCCTTCCGCTTCTCCACCTTCACCTCTCTCCTCCTCCTCCATCTCCTCTTCTTCCTCCTCCTCTCCTTCTCCTCTCCTCTCATCTTGCTCCTCCTGCTCCTCCTCCTGCTCCTCCCGTTCCACTTCATCCTTTGGCTCATTTTCCTTCTCCTCCTCTTTTTCCTCCTCCTCCGCTTCCTCCCAACTGCGAATTGGGCAGTAGTAGACGGCACGACCTAGAAGGCTTCCTATTCCTCACCGCATTTTTGCACGCACCCACACACTCGCACGCACGTATAGAACGACATAGTAAGATGGAAACCGCATTCGTTCGTGCAAAAATGATGACACAAACAAAGAGCGAGGGACAAAGATCAGAGAGAGAGAGTCATTTCATTCACCTCAGGCCTATTTTCTTGTGGCCCGTTTCAGTTTGTCTATCCTTTATCGCACCACAATCAATCACTAACCACATGCGCAAGAGAGAGAGAGAGCCAAAAGTGGTATTGTCACGTCCACACGCATGCCTCGTTTGGACCTGCGCGAGTGCAGGTTACCTTTCGTCCTGCACCAAGCATAGGTTCACCTTTCTACACCTGCCGTTTTATTCACTACTGCTGCCGCCTGTCTGCCGCCTGCGCCTTTTCGCTATTTCCACTACTGTTGTCGTCTGCCTGCCGCCCACACCTTTACGTTGTTTTCCAACATTCTCACGAATAACCGCGCCAATAGCAGTCCTACGCGGTCCCACCCCTTGCAAGGCCCCAAGACCTCAAAATGCCCATCCTCCCGAATGACCACCGACGTTGAAAGTCTAAGGAGGACAAAACGCACCACTAAAGGGCTGCGGACGCTGTGGTAGTAATGTATACATCCATGTTCTAGTGGTAGATTCTTTCGGTTTTGCTCATCCTATCGATGGAAGTAGCATGAGGTCAGTCACGGAGTTGCAGACTTACCTGTTGGCTGGCGCATTTCTCATCCTATCAATGGAAAACTAAGCCCGTTCGTAGAAACGAACGGGCACCTAAACTACACAACCTCAAAAAAAAAAAAAAAAAAAAAAATCAATGAATCTATGAAAAATCTAAAATATATCTAAAAAATCATCTCTAAAATAAAAAATAAAAAACAAAAGTCAAACTTCCCTTGAAAAAGAAACGAACGCCCGCTAAAACGGGCAATAAGTTGCAGTCCTCGTCTTCTCTACCAACCAGTTAGTGGGTCACTTCTCCACTTTTGTTTTTCTTCTTTTTTCCGTTGGCCGAAGATAATTGTCACGTCAAAGGGCACATTGAACACTTTTAAAGTGCAGACCAGAATTCGATCCCCTTCGGGTATTGAAATGTTTCTTGGACCATTTCTTCATTATGCGTGTCATCCATGTGCAGGGTCATGCAAATCTCTTGCGCGAGGCCAATTTCGACCGTTTGATCCTGAGATCACATGGCCGAAATCGACCACGGCCCTGTACTTCAGAGACGAGCTCCACATCTAAAGTTTGATATTTGTATCTGCGGCATGTGAGCCTGGTGTCTTACGTACTGGGATAGCTCCTACTACGATAATACTAGGAGCAGCTCCTCTATATGAGGAGCCTGCCTTGGCCATCCCTCCTATTTGTGGCCTTACAGACCCTGCCTTGTTATCTCATAATAGGTTGCCTGTCCCTGGCTCGGATGGGTGCCCCAGGCCATCGCATCGAACTCCGCGTGTCCCTCACCACGGAATCAAATCCCACGGCCGAATGATTAAAAAAAAAAAAAAAAAAGGTATCCCTCTTCGCCCGCGTCACAGCCCCATACCTGGCGCGGTTGTCCGTTTTAGCCTACTGGCATTCCTAAGTCCGCGTGCCTCTGCAGCCCCACTAAAACCCGCGTATAACCGGTCACACCGCGGACGACCGCCATTACGACGGTCTCATCGCGTCCCTCAACTCAACGAAAAAGTCAGCCAGCGTCCGACATCGAGAAACCCAAGCAGATACCCTTGGAAGGGTTTCTGCTTCGACAACGGAGTTTGTTTGGGAGGGGACAAACAAGAGGAGTACACAAGGGGAGCTCGAGGAGCAGCAGATCCTTGCGGCTTGAGGGAGCCCACCGCTATCTTGGATGTTTTCAGCAAAAGAGCGGGGACATTGTGGCGGTGTCCCAAAGAAGACACCAACAACGAGGACTCCCCACAGCATACCAGTGTTGATGCTCCTAATGTCGTTGATGAGCACCATGTGGAAGACGGTGACTGGAGCGACCTCAGGGTGGTCCACAAATGGAATGGTGGGATTGACCTTTTCGCAAACGCTGAGGGAGCCGACGATTTATGAGGCCAGTACAGCATCCCTCAGGAGCGACGAGATTGTCACTGCGTAGGCCCCATTGCAGACACAGAGCATCTGCGGGGAATGTACCGAGGATGGCGAGAGAGTCAGGTTGTGGCAGGGACTTGGTTGATGAGGTAGTCCCCCGTTGCCTGTGTTTCGGTCGTCAATGTAGGTCGTGGCACTGGAGGGGTTGCGACGTCCTAGAGGTTGGCGAGGGCCCCGGGATCCCTCCTCAACGGCTCGATCTGGACAGGGCCTCCGTCGGGTGTTTCAGGCGGGGGTGCTCATCATGGTGTTGCAGAGCAACTTCGCAACGGTGGCCAAGGGGCGATCGCATGTGCAGACAGTCGCAGCGGCTCACCTTGCCATTGGAATGACTTGGGGGACTTGGGGCTGCCATTGGGCAAGAGTTTCTCTCGCGGTGGGACATTCGAAGCCATGGGCCAGATCTTGGAACAAATCGGCGAGGTTGTGTCTACTACACTGTCTAGTAGTTTCTCACCTGCCATGCGCTAGGAGTTGGGTGCAACCCCTTCACGAGGTGGGAATGAGGGGGAGGGAGGGGAGACCTACAACGACATGACGAGCCCATGGAAGACGACTTTGCAGAGGTGGGACAGGTTGGATAGCAAACGAGTACAACTTCTTGCTTGTGAGTGCACGATTACTCTAGAGGTGGCACGCAAAGCTCAGGAAAAGTGTGGCCTTCAGATTGGCATACGCACGCATGACTCGTTGCTTGCACCGGCACCTCGTTAGCTGCACGCAAAGACAGGCAGCGGGGCAGATGCTCAGGCCAAGGTGGGTGATCCATCTGCCACGTCAACGTAGAGGATCATGAGTTGCAGCGAGTGGTGCAAGTTGGCATTCCTGAATGTCAGAGGTCCCCCCCGTGCGAGATGGTCACGAGGAGGCATTGTTACCATCATTGATCGACATACACACGAGTGATGTTTAGAGGTCACCCAGTCTTGAGGACATACAGATGAGGCGATCGTCGGGCCTTGAGGAGGAACATAGGGTGTTGTTGTCGAGGGCGTGGTCGTTGTCGAAGCTTGACGGTGGGCTGGAGAGTTGTGATATCGACGAAGGAACGACACAAGAGGGCTCAACTATCAAGGGACGGGTGCGCCAGGACACCAATCAAAATGTTCTGGTGTGTGATGACACAAATCGATGCCGCAGTTGAGGGAAGTGCGGGCGCTGCCGCCATTCACGATGGTGGTGCACTAGGTGGTGGTTTGGGTGCTGCAACGTAGCAATGGCATGGTAACGACGTGGGGGGGCGTATACTTTTCCGCTTTGTTGTAGGCATTGTTGTGCTGTATCATTCACTGATGCGGCTGCTTCTGGCAGAGGATGTCTCGTCCATGGCCATGCTCATCAAGAGAGGCTTACCTCCGCAGCCGTTCCCCCCCGCTGGTGCCAATCCCACAGAGGACTCACCCGAGGCTGGTACAGCAGCCGCATGGATTTATGCCATGCGACGCGATGACGGTAGACAAGTTGCAAGGGTGTTTCGCTACGGATGTAACAAAGCTAAACGCACGTATATCTAGAGGACCTTCTCCTCCTAGATTGTTGCAGATTGTGGGTTCAGTATCATGTGCCCCCGCAAGGCCCACACCACCCTCAGGTGTATCTGTCGCAGCGAGTGAGGGACCGTCCTGTCACAGTCCCCAGATAGCGTCGCCGCACATCACGGCAGCCGGAGGACTTCTTACAGATCGGGGCATCGACAAATAGACATGAGTGCCCCTCTCAAGGATACTTCATCGTTTGGCGGCAAAGATCGCCCTTGGAGCGATTGTAGGCGGGTTACGGCGGCCTCCACCAGTCGTCAGCCGGTCCTGCCACGACAACCACCATCATCATCATGTCAGACGTTGCAGCGTCATGGTTTGAAAGCGGGGATGGGACTGGCAACATTGCGAGTGGTGAGTTTACGAGTGAGGTCATTGAGGCCATTGAGCGACCAGCACCAAGGTACAGCTTGAGGCAGGCCACACAGATCTTGGGGGAGCAGGACACGCCCTTGATGGACAAGCGGGAGCCGATAGGAGGCGGAGTCAAGGTGAGACATTTAGGGGGGAAGCCCTGCCACTGGCCACACGGCACCCGTCACACATTGGACGTCACCATAGCATCACGACAGGTGGGGCGGAAACATGGGCGGGTGATTATGGAGGACAACGACACGGACTCAGCGGGCGTACGACGCGGCTCACGTCAGCAGCTGGGGCAGGCCACACATGCTCCACGGACGAGTACTCCAACAGGGCATGAGGATGACAACGAAGGCAACGACGAGAGCAACAGTGCCTATCAGAGGGGCCCCCCAAAACACCCCCAAACCAGTCCCCACGACAGTGACCACAAACAATCCCCCGAAACGTGCCCCGCCAGCATTGACAACTCAACAGATAAGAAGTAGATTGTATTATAAACAACAAACTAGAACAGTTTCAAAACACACTTCGCCCCCGACACCTCTGCAACCCCCTCACACCCATGACACCCCTCAAACCCCCCAACCCCCCAACACTCCCGAACATACCCCGACAGCGGCAACGAGTCAACAAAGATTTTTTTTGTCAAAAACAAAAACATTAAAAAAGACAATTGAAAAAACAAACACACTTCGCCACTAATACCTCTACAACCTTGTCAAAACCTGTTCAAAAACACCCCCCCACCACCACCCAAAAACAAAAACATTAAAAAAGACAATTAAAAAAACAAACACACTTCGCCCCTAATAACTCTACAACCTTGTCAAAACCTGTTCAAAAACACCCCCCCCACACCACCCAAAAGACCCACCAACACCCGTACAGTTCAAAAACCCTCAACCCCCCAATTAGTCCCTGCACCCCAATTAACCCCTGCATCCCCTAAAACCCCATGATGCCGCTAAGCCCCCACCCACCCCCGAAGTATTGGGGATCCGGAGGTTTGGGGGGGTTGAACTTTAGGGGTTGACAGGTGTCTTGTGGGGTGTGTCTGTTGGGTCCCTTTCTTGGGGTTTCAAGGGTATGGGGGGTCCGAGAGATGAGTTGCAAAGGGGGGGGGTTGGGAGGGGTGGAGGGAGGGGGGTCAGTTCTACAGGTCTTCTGGTCGGCGCCTTCCCTCCCCCACCACCCTCCCGCAAACCCACCATCCCCACCCCTCACGAAACCCCTGACCGATGCATGGCCCCCCCGGAGCCCCCAGGGTGTGCGCCTCGGCGGCACGCGTGCGTGCAATTTTTCCCTGAGCACGCCATGTGGCGCATTTGATCACGTGCACAGGAGAATTGAACGGCCGCGTCTACACGTGAGCACACATTCCACTACGCAACCTTGGTTTCTTTTTTTCTTTGCCTCGCAGGTTCCCCTCCAGGACGCAGGCGGCTTTTCCTTGTTTTCTTGGATGCAGTCGATAAAAGCCAAAAAAATGCACTCCTTATCAAACAGCCAAGTATGAAGATGGCAGACTCCAGTCTGGATGACATGCGGCCAACGGACCATAGAATATATCGTACATGAACCATCGACTTGTGGAAGAAGAAATTATGTTTGCCTATGCCCAACCTAAGAGTGGCATGAGGCAGTCGCACTGAGAACTGCTACTTGTTAGCCCATGTGCTGAACCAACTCTCCGATGAAAAGGTCTGCTTAACGAGCACGAGTGCCTACGTAAGCGTTCCGTGCTGAGTGCATTTGCTGCATGTGCTGATGGCACTCCGGTGCATTCCATGAGAAGTTCACTGAATGACAATTCACAGAAGGATCCCACAGTGCATGTGCACAAAACATACAGTGCATCATTTATCCAGCCAAGGATCCACCCACCGCATCGAACGATTTCCTTGGGCATAATTCCAGCCTGGTCGTAAGAATAGCGCACAGAGCAAAAAAGTGCCATAAGGCAGTTGAGCACACATCCTTCCCTGCTGCAGAACATTGAGCTCGCAGAGCAACAAATGGCATAAGGCAGGTGAGTGAACACAAACTTCCTGCTGTGAAACCCTCCACTCGGGCAAGAGGGAACTATGTTGTGCACGAGAAAGTAGCAAAACATGAAGTGTTGTGCAAGAGGAAACTACGTCGGGTCAGATCATCACAATGCCAGGCATTCCCAGGTGAACAAGTTCCCCCGACCGAGAATAAAGTAGCAAAACAGTATATGCATAGATTGGGAAGTCAAGGGGATTCCTCAGGTGAACAAGTTTCCTCCGGCCGAGAATAAAGTAGCAAAACAGTATGCATAGATTGGGAAGTCAAGGGGATTCCTCGTGCAAAACGCATGAAATGGTTGATGGATATGAACCCGTTACTAGTGCAACAAGAGAGGATCTCGACTCGGAGGCGAAAGTGTGAGAGCGCCTAACATCCCCACTTGCATTGGTTGTGGGTGGTACACCTGCTTGAGAGATGTTGTACAGGTAGGTGTGCAGAGCAATGTACATTGTACACCGTAATGCCACCCCTGGCATACAGGCACGGTATATTGATGTAAGGACGAGTTGATTGCAACGGAGGGATGGGTATCTGGCCCATAGCCAATTGCTGCAAGCGTAACTGGACCAGGAAGGGGAAACGTCTCCCCTTGGTCACCCATTGAGCGATCATATCAAAACACGTGACAGAGGAAGGTGCAGAGGATTTCTAATGTTCTTAACCAAAACTAAATGACCTATTGGGGCTTTGCTCACAGAAAAAAAAAAAAAAAAAAGAGCCCGCACAGCTCCAGCTTCGTAAGTAGAGGAGCATTAGTGATTATGCAACCACAGGGCGATGCAGCGGTACTGGCGGCAATGAAAATGAGAAGAAAATGACAAGGACAAAGTATTAGTTTGTGATAAAGTACGCAAATAGAGTATCGGTATAAATGAGATATTATTACGCGCTGCGCACACTGTTCGCATGTGAAAGACACGACATGCGAAGAGAAAAGGAAAAGAGATCAGCGTGTAATCAAAAGGTAAATGCGACATGATTTTGGACAAGTCCTCAGGTGGTCGATTTTTGTTGCACATTGCGGCAGAGAAAAGAAAAAGAGATCAGCGAAGAGATGTGCGCATGGAAGCTAGGGACCGGATCTGAAGATCATAAGCCCTAAACAAAACCCACAAAAACGGATGGAAGAGGTCACAGCTACGCAGAAAGCAACAATGACAATGACAGAAATGGAAAAATGGATATAACCAGCGATCGAGATCATTTGCGGCAGTAACACGAGGAATTGGAAACACAACTAAAAAGCAGTTTTTTGTTGTTCGTAAGTGACCAGAACCGTGTCATCAAGAACGTGCCAAGGAGTGCTGAGACTCACCTCTGAGTCGTCCAATCTGTTTTTCTGTTTGTGACACTCTGCGGGCCTGTAGGTGTCCATCGGTGACTGTGAACCTCCTGTCCGGCTGGCATTAACGATCCAGAGCACAGACAGTGTGATACTGAAGAGCACAACACGGAAGAACAGCCTTCTTCCAGTCTGCAAAGACCTTGGCGTATGCAGTCGAGGAGAGAGAGAGGGAGAGCGAGGGGAGAGAGAGACAGAGAGAGACAGAGAGAGAGGGAGAAAGAGAGCAAGAGAGAGAAAGCGTGAGTGCGGCGTCAGCCAGGCATGTGGAAAAGTATATTACTTTTCAACAGGCTCTTCCATGCAGGTGGAAGCTGCTTCAATGCTTCATCACTCAGCAAGTGTGCACACTTGGGGAGTGAGCAAGCAGATTCCACATGCGTGGAAGAAGCTGTTGGAAAGTAATCTACAGTTACTGCAACCTGGGTGATGCCAGATCAACGGGTTCTCCAATTGAAGCTGGAGATTTAAAATGGGAAATGTACTGTGATGAACATAAATACATGTGTTGTCTCTGAAGAGGAGGCAAGGTCTCAGACCAATCTTGCCAATGGCTTTCATGTAGTCTGCATCAGATGATGTGAAGTCACTGGAGACAGCTCGGTTGGCCTGTAATGGATATTCTTGAACCTGTCGTAACGAGTTTTCTAATTGACGATGACAATCCTGAAAAAGACGAAACACAATAACAACATGATAATATTAAGGCCTAATGAACACGAAACATGGTTGAAAATTTGAATCACAGCTCGTACATAGCCCACAAAACATGTTTGGTTAATTCAGTAACTGTTCAGTTAATTCAGTAACTGTGAACAGGGAGAGGATCTGTCACCAAGATGTATGCATCTCTCTCTCTCTCTCTCTCTCTCTCTCTCTCTCTCTCTCTCTCTCTCTCTCTCTCTCTCTCTCTCTCTCTCTCTCTCTC